CCGCCTTAGCCGGAAGGAAGCCATAGACTTTTCCTGATATGCACAGGGGAACAACTCAAATATGCTTTTCAAAGGAATGTAATTAAGGTCAAATTTTTTAGTGTTTGTCGCTCTACACTTTCCATTGCTTAAATTAACTGTCGAAGTACCAAGTTATTATCCAATTTGCTTGGAAATGTTAAGTCACTCCTAACCAACTTACTTGAAACTGAATGAATACACACTTATCAACAACAAATAAAAATATGAATATTGCGCAACCATACGATACGTATGTCGCTAGTAGTGATTCATCGTCAGGAGATAGAAGTAGTCCTGGAGACTGAAAACCAAATGTTAAACAATATAAATATATATTTTAAACTGGTCTCGATCTTCTACATTCAATTCAACATCAATTACTACAAAAATCGAGATACCAAACACCAGGTAGATACGTCAGAAAAGCATTTATTATTCAAACCTGATAATCAGTCCAGGTGTCGCGGTTGTCTCAGCCTGGTTTAAAAACAACATAATGCTGTTGTGAGTATATGAACTTAAATTAATAAATGTAAAATGTATGTATTTTGAAAACTTGAAGTGATTTAAATCAAAAATATCGTCGCTATGGGCTTTTTAACTTTAGATGATAATAGTCGAAAAACCATGTTTTCTACAAACGCATCATCCGAAGTTACTTTACTTTACTTTCTGCAATGAAATGAACATTGTCATGAGATTTAGAGTATCAGCTGTCTATGAACTATGTCTTTTTCAGATTACTAGACCCAAAGAGAGCCTGGATGTCTTAGGAAACCGAGTTTTCAGCCGAATCATGAAATATTCAGGTTTTGCTTAGATTCTATTTTGAAGAAATGCACTTTTTTAGTAAATCGTTTTCGCTCACTAAAAGACGCGGTAAGGACTCTACTAACGAACGGTTAAACGCACAACTCTAGCATGTTGCATGTTCGAGTTATTTAAAAAATAGTCAACCACATTCTTGTGTCGCCGCGAGAATAGTCAAATTCACGATACCCTTCCAGTGAACCTGGCTGACACCAGTTCTTATAAACTCATTCATTTAAAATCCTTTACAAATTGACAATTAGAGAAAGAAGCATATGATTTGTTGTATGATCATTAAAATATGATTGTAAAAGAAAGAAGAATGATGCATTTGTCCTATTAACCGTTTCTACAGTTACTAACTACTAGAACAGTTTCTAATGTGCCTTTTATTATATGCAGACCAGAATATGTTTTATGACATTCGATCATTTTTGGGTGGCTATAAAGGCGAGAGACTAAGAATGATTGAGTCGTTGTTTGACGACTACTGTCATGAAATGGTAGACGACCAAAGTGCAACGGAAATGTCTGAAGTTGTTCTTGCCCGTTACAGGACGTTGAGTCACACTGCATGTAACTATTTGTTACTGAAATTCGTTGTTCAGGACTATAGGTAAAATACCTTGATTGGGAGCCATCCATTGAGAACGTCCGCCCACCACTGTACAAGAGTTTTTGACCCTCACTTCTTCTCTGTCAGTTTTAGCTGATCCCGCCACATCCTACTGGACGTCCTGCAGAAATTTTTTTTATTTCTATTCCAGTGAGATTTATTTTCTTTTTGTAGTTCTAGTCTACTTACTAAGTATATCTATGTCTGCGAATGGTCAGAATCGAATGGAGGTATTTCATACGAGAACTCAAAACAAAAGCTCTCGAAACATGTTCATTAAACTTTTCTGTAAGACTAAAGGAAAGAAAATTCTTTAACTTTAGGGAAAGTCCCTTTATCTGCTAACAATTAATTTGTGTTGTTGCTGCTGTTGCAACTGCTGCTTCGTGGGTGACATTGTTTGTCCGACCATAAGAAATCTTAAGTCGAAAAGTTGGTTCTATGCGTGGCAGAGTAAAGCTCAGACGCCCTGGTGCATAAGAATTTTTTGTTCAGAAGCATCATCATTCAGATTCAATTTAGTTTTTGGTCCCATAAGCTAAGAGAAAAATGGATCGACTAACATCGTTTATAGTCAATTAGACGGCCATTCTTTCCTCGGAGTGCAAAGAAAATTAAGAAAAGAAAAGAAGTTTCCTTTAAAAATCAACGCGTCCTCTGTTCTTTTGTTATCGATTTCGCCTTTTCGCTTTCACTTGATCGATATGATTTGTCCTCCTTTCAACTATTCAGATCACATAAAGCAGATCAAGCTTTTTAAATACGATTTGTCTTTTTTTTGAAAAAACGCTATGAATCTTTTAGTGTAACCGAGACAAACAGATGAGAAAAACTTATAGAATTTTCAAATAATAATAAAACATTTTCCATTCGGACTTTCAGAGTAGTTTCGCTCCGCTCAGCTCTGTCCGACTTTTCCGCTCACTTCCTCTAAAGCCAGATGCCTTAAATGAATGATTCCTTGGGTACTAAATGTCTGCCTGTCACAGTACCGAACACCGACGCTTGTACCGTAGACATGTGTAAAATATGCGTTGTGCTCATCACAACCCCGACGAATTAAATAGCCCAATGGTAACAATGACAGAAAGGCATAGTTCTTCCGAATATAATCTCTCTTTGAAACCAACGCAGACGTTATTTACCACCAGAAATGGGATTTGTGAACTGGCCATGTTGATCTGGCAATTGATATTTAACTAAATGAAATGTTCTGTTTCGACCACATTTTGTTACACTTTTACATAGAACATTGGCGTTTGTTAAACCAATACTTAAATTTCGAGTTGATTCATTGTAAAATAAACCATTACAGGATAAATGTCGCTGTTGTGGTCCGATTGAATTTCATTGATAAAATCCAACTGTATCTCTAAAATAAAGGTTAACTATTGTTTTTTCATTTGATGCTAATTGCAAAACACTGCCCAACGGAAAAAAGAATAATAATGCAAAACCCAAATTAGAATCATTAAATTTTCTTAAATAAATTCCACTTAAATCATTAAGACATTCACGATACTATCAGATACAGCTGTCATTCCAACATTTTGGATTGAAAACATAAAAAAAATAAATACCTATTTTCGTAAAGAGCATAACGTTACGCGATTAATAATTAGACTAGAAATTAGAAAGCAATAAATACATTATATTGTATTACTGACTATCAGAAGCATTTAAGCAGAGATTGTCGAATCACCAGCTAGTTTTAGAAGAAAACTAAGTAGCGCGAAATACTTCATTAAGAAGACAGATAGATTATTGTATTATTTTATTTATTCATTGGATATTAGCCATCGTACACAATAAATAGATAAAAGAGTCTTCTACAAAATGTGCAAAACTATGCTTAAAACTACGTTAACTTTAGGTATACATTGGTTTCGGTTAATGACCGAAACCGAAATAACCGACCATGGGTTATAACTGAAACATCGGTTAATCGAACCGATGCATACGTAGTCTCCGAACTAACTAAAACATTTCCTAAATTTTTCATCAAGCCGTGGTTCATGAAAATGCTTTCTTGGTATGAAGAAGCAGTGCATTATTCTCACTTAAAATTAACCATTTGTCTTTGTCTAATTAATGGTTTTTTCAACGATCCTGATCTAAACTAGAAATATTTTAAGTATTACTATTGACAGTTATATTCACATCTGCGCGAAAACTCAACAATTCTGATCTCAGTTTATCCAAATTTTGAAAAGTAGAACAGTAACAATCAAAACTAAGCACATCATAAAATTTCTTCGATTATTTCGATTTTGGTTTGACCAAGCCAAGGGTACTGGTGGATCCTAAGCAGAATAGTGACGACTTTTTACTCTCGCGGCGCGATCACGCTGTCGCTACCGCGATCGCTATGATATCCCGCATGTCGCGGCGCAACCGCGATGAAATCTTATATTCGCGCCGCGATCGCTAAAATGTCGCGAAGTCGCGGCGCGATCTTGATCAATTCTTACTTTCAAAAAGAGTTCTTTTTTAAGAGTCGCTGCGGGATATGTAATCGCGTCGCGATCGCTGTAATGTCCCGATCTTGCGGCATAGTTAGTCATCTTTGAATTGCAAGAACGCAAAAGAATTCTTTTTCTCTTATTTCAAAGTGAGAATTTATATTTCGTATATATACAAACAGATAGTCTACATTCTGTTTATAACATAAACAGTATATACTATGTGTCTATAGACACGTGTGTCATTGAAGATATGTGTTTTTGTTATTCTCATTTTAAACGAGATATACAAAAAAGAATCAGTGTCCGTTATGTAGAAGACACTTCATATTTTCTTAACGTGGTGTGTAGACTACTTTTACACTCGAATTTTGTGCAGTTTATATCTGCTTTTTCCACTTTTTCAAAAGGGAATCACATAGAAAAATAAGTAATATACAAAGTAAGTACACAGCAATTTCAACGAGCGAAAGCGTATGGAAGCATAAATCCTTTCCACTTTTGCTGTCACAAAGTTGAAATGTTTTTGTTTAACTATTTTGGGTACCAAAACGGGACACTCTTTTTCATAAAATGTATGAAATCTAGGGACTTCTGTTATGCACAACTTCGTTAAATATGTTAACTTCGCAAGGTCTCAAAATAAAAATGCACTAAAGTGAGAAAAGCATCAAAGGTTGATGTCATCGCAATCGTGAGTATCCTCGGTGTAAGATCGCTTTGTCGTTGGTGACTTTTGGGATGTAGCGAGTATCAGTTCGGTCCTGTTGGACACACAGTGGATTGGGGCTAAGCCATTCCGCCTCATTCACAGGATGCTAGATTGACTCTAGCAACGAACGGATATTAGCGTTTAGTATTCAAGAATACGCATTCTCTGAAAGTCCAAGCGTGAATGTTTTCTTCACATACGGCAAACGTTACCTTATTGGTAAGGCTCACGTTCGAATCATAAGACATCAACCTCTCTCACCTTTATTTTGATACCAGATTTTGAGTGATAAGGGACAGAAAACTTCATCTGAGATGAAACTTTCTTTCACTAAAGTTATCACAGTTCACTATTAACTTTTTAAAAATAGAGTAAAGCCATGGGCGCGGGCGTCGCCTCGCCCGTGGTAAAGATAGTTCACTATCGCAACGATATAATAAAATTAAATCTAAACTTCAAAATCTGAAGGATTTCTAGAAATCTCCTGGAAACCGTCAACGTTAAAAAGTCATAGCTGATGGGTTTTTCCACTTTATTCTTATTTGGCATCATATTTTGAGTGCTTCGTGAAAATTTGATGAATTTCTGACGTAAAAAGAAGGAGATATGATTGTTCGAAGTTTAGCCGTCTATATGCAAAAACTCGGTTTTCCAGAAAATGACTCTGACGAACTTTGCTCAACTTTTGGCCGAAAATAAACATTGCTATGATGTTTAGCGTACTCGATTGCCTATGCCTCGAGTCTTTTCGAAGTCTCTAGGCTTGCGCGGATCGAGATACTATGGTCGTCGGAGAACGTTTCTAGCTTCACAACCTTGACAGATACAGATCTGGAACACGTCTAGAAATGAAGATCTCTGTCTGGTGCATCTACCTAACATCTCAGAATTCAAAATCCGAAACCTTTTTAGTGATGAGAAAGCTTCTGCAAAATGTCCTGAAGTGGCTTACCACCTGCACATGGCACCTTTTCTTTCCTTTTTGCTTAAGTCTGAAGCCTCATCAATTTACTCTCAGAAACTGAAAAGCACAGCTCTTTAGCTCTTTGCTACCACAGGTTATTAGAAAAACAATGGATTGCCTTATATTTTGAAATGGATAGTAGCCAAGGGGGAAAGCACGGAATCCTAGAATCCTGAATTCTCTTGGATTCCAAGGATTTCCTATGATTCTTTAGCATTCCCAGAATTTTCTAGGATTCCCTCAGATTCCCTAAGATTTCACAGGATTCTCTTGGAATCCATTAAATTTCCTTGGATTCCATAGAACTCTTTCCCAAAAGAGCAAAAACGTGTTCTGTTTTGTGAATTGGTGGGCAAATACAGAACACGGATGTTCTGTTTTTTTGGGAAATATTTCCCAAGATACAGAACACTTAGTGAAGTCCATCGATAGAAGCCGTGTTTTTCAGAAAACCGTTGCAAAAACTTGTCCAAACCCACAAATTCCACAATAGGTCTAGAGATATAGATGAGAATGACGCAGATAATAGAAATTTCAGGTCAGTCCGCTATGCCATTTCAATACAATCTTGGTCTGAAAGAGGGTAAAAGTATCTTTAAAAAATTTTAGCGTGTAGTTTCATTTACAAAATGGATTGCTTTGTGACATGTTTTGTTTGTAATACTGTTAGAGGTTTTATTCATTTGTTCAGTGAAATATTTCTTATATATATTGCTTAACGTTGTTATCGATCACTAAAGGGACAAAATTTTCTCTTTTTGGTTTCCTTTTCTTCTTGCGACCGATATTGTATCGAATATATATACTACATCAAAAACGAATACATCCACATCTTTTATTTTATGATATATTATAGATTTAAATTTTTTCTCCTTTTCTTTCCTTTTGTAAGGCGCTGCTAATTCAAAAGTTCAGCACATTTTTATTTTTGGCTTTCTTATACATCATTCGATAGAGAATTTCACGCTGATCAGAAATATCACCTTTTTAGCCTTCCCAGTGCACGTTTTCACTGACGTGAGAGAAATTTGAAATACCCTGTGGGTCTCAACATCGGGAAAAACCTTCGTGTTTCGAAGAGGTTGAATATTTTTTCTCTTTTATATTTTGAAGTATCCAAACGTTCTTCTTCGGATTCAGCATTGAAAACTGATTAGTTAACGTGTTTTGAAATTTTTCCATGCGTAATGTGATTGTAGAAAAAGTTCGTTTACACGCATAGCTCCAAAGCGAAGGCCTCGTCGTTGCCTAGTTTATGTGTTAAGGGATGAAGCTCTAATTCTTGCGCCATTCGATCGGCCTTCATTTGAAGTTCAAAAATATGAAACACTTTTTTCTAAAATTTGTTGCAATCCTGAGAAAGTACATTTTTTCTGAATCAGGAGCGAAAAAATTTGAATTCTGTCTGTAATTCTCTATTTTCTCCATCCGAACTCAACTTTTATGCAATAAAAATATCATATTCGAAGTTAGCGTGGAAAGCCGATTCAAATGATGTATGTTTCAAAATGTTTTGTTGATTTTCATGTTGTTGTGAAAATCTCAGTAATTTGAAGAAGATCAGCCCAATATTGCAGAGTAGAACGCCTTCCTTGATAGAAAGTCTAGGATCATTCAAAAAAATATCGGGCGTCTGCATCAGTGGAGTTCAATCAGTGTGGAGTTACAAAAGCTAACTGAAGGGAGCTGTTTAATTCTTGCTGATTTTGTCGAATTCAGTTGAATTACGTTCTCTTGGTTGAGACTCTGTAAATAGCAGATGTATGTCACTGGTATATGAAGGAGGAAAGGAAAAAGAAAAAATTTTGAATGCATTGTGTAAAAAAACAGAAGGGTATAGTGTTATTCATCCATCTCGTCTCTATGGAATCGAATATTACGCTTGTTTTCTCTTTTTGTTTCATTTTCTGAGTAAAAATCATCTAGCAAACGCATAAATATGTGTATAAGAAAAATGTGCATGCATATAAACGTGTTGGAAGTGCCTATTTTTATTTTCAAAGGATATTATATATAAAAAGTACTAAATATAATACATATGACGGTATGTTTCGAGCTTTACCTAAACTTCATTCTATAGTTTTTCCAGAAAGTCGTTAAATATGGAAAAACAGGTAATGAGCTCTCTCTCGTACAACTGTAAACTTATTTTTAAAATTTAAAAACAAACAAAGCTCTCTAAAAATAACATTTTTTTCTCTCTGTCGTGGTTATTAACCTATGCGGACAATATTAGCTCAACCTAAAAATTGCCACGGTTCAGCTCGTTATATATGTCCATAGACATGTCAATCAGGAGAAATTATGATATCGACTAGAAAAGATCAAAGAATAATTGTGGCTGGCCACCTGTACTGTTTGATGACAATCTGTTGTGCAACTAGGCGATTAAAGGCAGAAGTCGTGGCAAAACTTGAGAAAACCCAGTGTTCAGAGATTTGAAACACTGCCGTTTCTTCGGAAACCTATTAACTTTCTCGTTATAGGATTTGAAGGACTTTTCTAAATTTCACATCAAATCTGTATAGGTAGTATATAAAGAGCTTATGCACTGTTGAATAGGATGATAGTCACATTTCGAACAGGGTTTTGAAGCTTTTCTCCTTCTTTTTCTACGTTTTAAGGCTTCTGAATATGGTTTTGGGATGAAGTTGTAATTTAAAATAAAAAATCACTGTTTTATTTTGCTGGCTGGGTACAAAGCATCATTGCACAATATTCACGTTGTTAAAGACATCAAAAAATAGAAAAATGCGGGCTAAAATAAAATCTGAGTCTAAAATCTAATACTGTATTAAACTGGTTTGCAAATAGTGAATATTTTCGTTTCTGCGGTTCCCTTTTAACAGTTTTAAAACTTCCCAGTGAGGCATTAGTTCGTTCTCAGCGTACATGACACACGTTTTATTTATAGAAACGCGTTTTTCCAATTTCTATTAAAAGAACACGTGTGGTGTAATCTAAGAACAAAATTATGTTTTAGTAGGATTATTCTTGTTAGAAGCGAAAAATATCGCAAAATTGAGATCGTAATATCCATTTTAGTTCAAAGTCAATTCTTCCATATTAATTCAATCCTGAACCTTGTTTTCATGAGAAGAGTCAATTCTTTTATAAGTCTTCCCTTCATCATAGATTTCTGTGCTGAAGTAACTGTTTACGGACGACACAGACCGGTTTCCGTAACTGTCATTTTGTCTAAATCATAACTAAATTTTCTATTTTATAGGAACTTGAGACAATGGAAAAACTAGAAAAAGTCAAAAATCTTTGCTCAAGCATTAGCACCACAGAAAATTCACAACTAAAGCAAGTACTTGATAGTATTGTGCAGGAACTGAATGGATTCAAAAGTTCGAATAACTATGCTGTATTAGCAGCCGAAGCAATCAGCAGCACCTTACGTTCGCATTGTGACGATTTAGCGAAAGCGAAGGTATTGGCTCATGAACTCTATGTTTTTCTATTGCACAATGTGTTGAACAAAATATTAGCTAAATGGTCAAATGAAGAGTCATTGAACGAAATCGAAGAAAATATATTTCAGTCGATCAGTATCATAGTAGATCGTCTAGTGCTGTATGCAGATGAACATGATGTCCCATTGTTAGAATCATGGCTAACTAATCAAATATTTATTGAACATGTTCAAATTTGTCTCACAAAGACTACAACAGACAGGAAATTTCTCAGTGATGCAAGAGTAATAAATTTAGGTACATTGATAGAAGCACTGGCACGTTTTGCGCGGAAAATGCATAGAACTGCTCCAGAAAATTCTCTTATTCTCAGTTATGCTATCAATTGTGTTTGCTCCCAGTATTACATCGATACGTTTAATACTCTCGACGTAGATGCTTTGGTAATGAGTCCAGCCAGTACCTTTTTATACTCTAACTGTTCTTTCTGTATTGGAAAGACTTCTCAGAAAATTATATGGCCAGTGGCAATAAATGCAACTATAAAGCAGTGTGTAGATATATTAAAAAAATTTCTGCCTCAGATCACACGATGGAAACAACCGTTTATGTTATCAGTCGAAGGAATCCTAACTATTTTGACATGCACTGTATCGGATGAGAAATGTATCAGCATTTACATTGAGGATACTAGCATATTTGACAGCATTAATGCAATTCTGAATGAGAAATGTATTTATGATCAAGTTTCCATACAATCCAATAATGCACAAAGTCGTTTAATTGATGCTGCGACTGAGTTTCTCTACAAAACTGTGCATGAAAAAACACTTCGCGGGATTATGAAATCGAAAAATACTATCGAAACAATACTAAGGATACCCGATGCAAAACGAGCCAATATCAATGCCAATATTTATTTCATTGTGACAAACCTGATGAAAGATATGAATGATGAAGATATTCGCCAGCTACGTGAACCAGGCAGAGTGATAGCAATTTACATATCTTTATTGAACAAAATAATGGCCGATCCAGAAAAAAGGCATGGCGGTTTATCCGTTTACTCTCCTATGTCAGCTTTAAAAGGTATGCGTTTGACTTTCTGTTACCATCTATTTTTCGAATTAACCGAAACGTAGCAGAATATTTGTCAGATGATATGTGACAAATTATGGGTAAAACACTCTCACTATTTAGTCGTAAATACTTTAAGAGATCAGTACACAGCTTATAAAGCTATGGTCGAAGAAAAACCGCCCACGAAGGCGAAGATGCGTCTTCACCATTTTAAAAACTAGATTGCTCAGCAAAACGTTTGTTTTATTAAGCAATTCTGTGTTCTTGCTCGCATTACAAACAAAAACAAAAAGAAAAGCAGGAAAATCTCTTTCCCAAAAACGTGTTTTGAGAAAAACGCGAAAGTAGAACGCCCGTGGATATTTCTTCAATAACTTTTGATAGAAAGCAGCTAGAGAGCTCCGCTGTTTTCCATGCGAAAGAAGACACTCGTGGGCATGCTTTCACAAGCATAATTGTTTTCTGAAGAGTTTTCTGAAACAGGTTTTCTAGAAGATCTTTGGAAAACCAGGTCGTGTGTAAACATTTTCGAATAGGATTGGATTGATCCTTTTCCATGGACTGATAGCCCGGGATGTTCTCTTGAAGATGGGAGTCAAACGAGACCTTGATTTTCCGCGGCTTCGACGTTGTATTGGATTTCCTACGAGTCCCAGGACTGGCACCTGATGACTATTGGTAGCCTTGAAAACGAATAGACTATGGGTAATCGATGACGCTTAGTCTCGTGGGAATATTTTTGTTCAGAAAAAGTTCTTAGAATCTAACGAAAAGGGGGTTTTAGGAAAATTGGAGTTTTCAGGCTCATATTGAAAAATTTACTATTTGCCCAATAAACATCAGAACGAGTTCAAAACTTTAGGCTGTGATTAATTTGTCCGCTAAGCGTGATTATAAGATCGAAAAAATCGTAAAAGCATATTTTTGTTAATCGGCGTTTCACAAACCCTTTCGGAAAGCCTTAGAGTTCTGTAAAATCTCTCTCTAGATCTCCTATAAATATAATATAAAAGTGCCTAAATACTATACATTCTGAAGTTTTAAAGTCGTTCAGATGTATTTTGAGTGAATAGTGAATTTTTCAATATGAGGTGAAAACAGCCTGAAAACCCCAATTTTCGTAAAACTCCCTTTTCACCAGATTCTAAGAACTTTTTCTAAATACAAATATTGCCACGAGACTCACCCTACAAAAAAATTTTTTGTCGGCACCGCTTGTGCATGAGTGCGCACTCATGCCGAATAAATGTTTTTCTGAGCATCGATGCGCACGAGTGCGGGATTTTTAGATTCTTCTGGCACCAGTGCGCACCGATGCCATAAAAAAAATTTCGTATCGCACCAATGCACATCGATGCCAAGTTTCTTTTTCCAGCACCATTTTGTTTTGTTATTGTTCGTGTATATCAACACCATAGTATAATTGTAATATTACTATATACATTTCGAATATCCTTTCGGCCCACATCTTTTACTTCTCGTAAGAGAAGTGCCGAGGCAATACCGTATGATCATGGCATGGTATGAGCACTGGTGCGCATCGCCGATGCCGATTCTTTTCTTTTGATAGGATGGCACTAGCAAAAAAAACGCAGCCTTGCAACATGCTGCATTGAATTTTAGCAATGCATCATTTCTGAAGTGAAAACTCGGCGTCGATGCGCTTCGATGCCAATCTGGCATTGTTTGGCATCACGTGGGCACCGGTGCGCACCGATCTTTGACGATGCCAGTGACACATGGCATGGCATGCGCACCGGTGCGCATCGCTGATACCAATCATATTTTTTGCGATGCCACATCGTACTTATTTTGTAGGGCAGTGTGATCGATTACCCATAGTCTATTCGTTTTCAAGGCTACCAATAGTCATCAGGTGCCAGTCCTGGGACTCGTAGGAAATCCAATACAACGTCGAAGCCGCGGAAAATCAAGGTCTCGTTTGACTCCCATCTTCAAGAGAACATCCCGGGCTATCAGTCCATGGAAAAGGATCAATCCAATCCTATTCGAAAATGTTTACACACGACCTGGTTTTCCAAAGATCTTCTAGAAAACCTGTTTCAGAAAACTCTTCAGAAAACAATTATGCTTGTGAAAGCATGCCCACGAGTGTCTTCTTTCGCATGGAAAACAGCGGAGCTCTCTAGCTGCTTTCTATCAAAAGTTATTGAAAAAATACCCACGGGCGAAGAAGCCATTTTTACAGAAAAGCAGATAAACTGTTTCTGTAGGCCTGAAAAAATGCTGGAAAAGCTGCTCTAAAATTCACGCCATACATCTAGATGGCGTCATGTGCACTTCTATATATCGCCACATGCACTATTAGATGCATCTCGATAAGTACTTTCAATTCAAATATAATATGCCTATTTTTCATGTTAACTACAAATAAAACCTGCTGTAGACGGCGCCACATGTTTTAACAGGTTTCGCCATATGTACCATTGGATGCAAATCGACGAGTACTTTCCACTCATATGTAATATGTCTATATTTTACGTCAAATACAAGCAGTAGGCTGACAAAATATGTTTTCCGTAGGGCGATCTCCAGAAAACCTCTGAAAACCCCTTCAAAAACCATTCATATAGTGTTAAATCGTACATATTCTGAAAGTAGACGTTTCAGGCTATCTTTGTATGTGCTTATCTCAAAATCGATTTACTGACCGAAAATCATCATTTCTGAGGTTGGGGACGGGGGCTGTAAGCGTCAGGTGCCCTTGTACTAACAGTTCACAAAACAAACCCAGTTCAAAATCTCTACAAGTCAACAATTTATTACCAATGAGTTACTAATACAAATAATTTTTAGCAGTAATGAAAGTCTGTTCTTGTTCAATTAATGAAGAACAGTAATAATTAAATTTTGATAATGGAATGTGGTTGAACAGTTGCTCGTGTTGATGTGGAGAAAGAGTGAAGAAGAAAATGTGCAAACAGAAATTATTGCAGTATAAGAAGCACAGTTAGAACGAAAATACTAAATTATATTTTGTAAATAAGAGAAATTATTTAGCTTGAATGAGAATAGATTTAGGAAGATGTAACGTACAACTGAGCTCCTCCTTCTTTGAATGTGAGAAAAGAAGAAGAAGAGAAGAGATGTGAATTTGAATTTGAAAGTTGCCAAGAATGAATAAAGAATCGAAATTTACTTTCGATTATGACTTGTTTTTCGTTTTGTTCCCCGGAAACGACTTGTATTAACGTACATTAATAAATAATAAATAATTTCTTTCTTCTATTATCTCTCATACTGAAACCCGAAACTTCCAAGTTTTAAGAATTTCTAGAAACTGCAATAAGATCAAGCATAGAGAATAATGTAATGCCGATGAGCCGTTACAATCGGGGCCCTTGATGGTTGACAGGGGCGGCGGAACGTTTTGAAATTTGATAAGGCTCAGACTTGACGGTTTTTGCGTTCTTTGGAAGACGAAAAAGTCCAATACAAAAATGCATCGGAAAACAATTTCTACTTCCTAATTTTTGGTAAGGCCCAGCCTAACTTAGCCAAAATTTGGTAAGGCTCAAGCCTTACCACGCCTAGTGGTTCCGCCGCCCCTGATGGTTGATATATTCAAATGCGTGAAATTGTTTAACGCATTCGAATGCATTAGAATTGTTTTTTGTGACTTTAATAGATTCATAGGTTTTACGAGCTGTCTAATGAGTTAAAAATTAACGGGTGTAAAGGCATTAATGCTTTTTAAAAGCAAAAATGATGCTAGCATTCTCTAAGAAGGTGATCTTACTTTTTTTGGACAATACCATCGAATTCCTCTCAAACAGTTAGATGTAGGATGATTACTTCAATCAGACATAGTGTAGAGGACCTAGAAACTTTTCCAAAAATAGGTGCCTTCCCTTGATATGGTCACCTATGAATGCAGTCAAAAGCATTAAAATTTAACATGTTTCTGTGAACTAAATAATTATAATGTGTTTGAATATATAAAAATTCCAAACGGATTGAATAGCATTGAATTTATAAGACTTAAAAGTCTTATACGTAAAAGATCATCAAAACGCGTTAAAAACATTTTTCAGTAATTACCTTTTAATGCGCTTAATAGGTTAAGCCCCCACTCCTGTCAGAAACCTCTGAAAGTATAAGTCTGATCTTGACCAAACTTTTAGGAGATGCTGACCTTGAGAAAGTATGATGACAAAACTTTTTGTTTGACTCCATCTACCATGGTTTGTGAAATGTCCTCACAACGGTGACTAAAATGGGGCTATTCGTAGTTGCAAGATTTCTCTATAACAAAATCTTATGGAGAGCTAGGGCAGATCTTAAGTTGTCTTTTCCATGGCTTCATGTGCTTATTTCTTTATACCGGTGCTTGACCTTTTTGTTGCTTTTGTTGTCGGTAATGTGCTTTTGATAGATGTTGACGTGCGCTTGTTGACGGCAAGTCTGTGAAGTTTACCGAGTTAGATAGTTTATTTATTATATGAATTGCAGGTGAATGATCAGACATTAATAATTGTTTTCTTAAGTCTTTCCGAAACTTTTGTAGTTGAGGATATGATGGATGATTATACTTATGTTAATCAT